AACTCCTTCTTGTACGAAACAATCTCACGGTCGTCGCTGACCCTCCAGACCAGGCCGTTGGATTCGTCGGCAATCGAATCTGAGTTGAATGGCGGCTGCTTGCTAGTGTTACGGAGGCTTCTAATGATGCCTCTTTGTACGTCCTTGTGCCGAATTTCTAATGATAATTCCAACGAGCTGCGAACCTGCCTCTTCGTACGTCCTTGTGCCGAATTTCTAATGATAATTAACACCAGCTGCGAACCTGCCTCTTTGTACGTCCCTGTGCCGAATTTCGTATGATAATTCGAACGACGAGCAGCGGACCTGGGACTCCTTGTACGTTCCCGTGCCGAAGCCAAAAAGTTCGCCGGCTTTGGCCTCAATCTCGGTATCCGTGCTGTTTGTCAGCCACACATCGAAAGAGTTCGAGATTATGATGCCAGGCTTTCCTTGCTTCGCCGGCGTCATCGCTCTCCTGACACTGATGAGTCACACGAGACTTCTCATTCTTCTCGATGGAATTTACGATGGAATTCGGGTTATTTAGCCCCGAATGACCAAATGATTGCAATTTTAAGTTTGAGCCTGCAAACAACAACAACTACAACAGAAGCAGCAACAACAAAAACGACAGTAACAGTAACAAGAAGCACGATCACAACAAGCAGCAAATACAACGGTTGATTCTGAGGGACACGATCGTCGTGTCGAATAGCTAGGTCAGCTAGGTGTTTGATTCTGAGGCCGGCCCGCTGAAGAAAGGGTTTAGGATCAAGTCTCTAGCGTCGCGAAATAATTACTGTCAAACTATGCATTATTCCAGGACCAACCCTAAACCCTAAACCCTTTTTAAACCCTATAAGCCCTAAAGCCTGAAATTAAAAACGAAAGCTCATATTAGTTGCATCGTCCAAGATCACACTGTCAGTGGCAAAGTCATTCATGGCCTTCGTAGCCGGCTCCACCATTCGCGTGAAATCGAGGGGCATCGCATCCACCGTGTAGTCGCAGTTGCCCACTGCCCGCTCGGAGCCGCCTGCAGCTCCAACACTGTTGGTCGATGCGGTCCTGCTGGGCCTTCGGCTCAGGAAATCCGCTCCAAACTCGTCCACAAACTTCTGCTTCAGCTCCACCATCACACTGTGCTCCGGCGTTCCGGAGGGAAACTTCTGCTCCAACACAGCATCTGGCCACTTTGGCTTGCCTTCGTCCACTGCGAGGAGCTTGAAAGCTGCAGCGCTCATCGATGGGCCATCTGAAGCCTCTCGCGGTCGACGGCTGGGGGGTGCATGCTCCGACCTGTCCCACCAGGTGTAAATCTGCGAAGCAAACGAGCTGCGCAGCTCTGTGAACACATCCCTTTTGATGATGCCAACATAGCGGATTGGTGGGGCTGAACCATCGAGCAATCTCTGAACCGCCGCCTTCCCGAACTCAGCTTGCCTCATATGGAAATCATGATTGAGTTCAGGTAAGTTTTGCAACTTGTTGTGGTTCTTGCAGACATTATCAGTTCACTGTGTTTTGGATAATTATTGCTCGACACCCAAATATATTCTTACACACTGTAGCCCTAAGGGTTTAGGCTTCGGGTTATCCTAGGAATGGATTTGTTAACCGGCGGGGGTGGTGAAACTTTAAACACAGACTGACAGCCTAAACTTTCCCAGGCAACACCAAGCCCCAAACCAAAATTGAAACCCCAATCCTTGGACTCTACAACCTGATGCCTTAAACCCTGAAACCCCAGTCACCCTTAAAGCCTCAAAGCCTAAACGCCGAAACCCCCAAACCCGAACAACAATTTGACAACCAAATCATTCAACTCTACACCCTTGGCCTCAAGGCATATACCCCTCAAATCCACTCAAAGCCCAGCCACCGATTCGGAATGACATCGAAGAAAATGATGCGGTCACCCTCCTTGAAGTCCATCCCATCTGTGTAGCCCTTCAGAATCTCCAAGTGGAGGGGCACACCTTTCCTGAGGCAACTCAACTATTATTACTTTTGACTATTATGTTGAACCTTCAACCCTCGGCTTAGATCATCAAAACCTGCAACCACACCCAGCTTGAAACCGACCCTAAATTTAGCATGTTACGTACCAGCATTCATTTCTTCACCATCAAACTTTCAATTTCTAGCTTCATGCATGTCTCTGTTCCACCCTTTGTGATGGCGATGGCCTTGAAGCCTCATCATGGCCCACCATGTCACTCACACGGATGAGAGGAAGTGGGCCTAGGTGTCCATCCTGTGCTGCCCGGCACATCTGGAAGGCACTCGTTGACCCCGCACATGTCGAAAACAAGCATTCTTGCATGAGCGCGCGTCTGTCCTGCCCTGAGCTTTCCTGTGACCTCTCAAAAAGAAGGGCCACTGGATGGCTCGCGGTGAGCCTCCCCTTCACGAGTCCATCCTCGATCGATCGGCGGTGTTTCAACTGGGCAGTCTCGGCTTGGGCCTTGTGCCCCTGGGGCAGCTGCACGTGCGCGCAGCTCGAGTTTGAAGCCAAGACAGCTGCCGTGGTCTCCATTGCGAATTTCATGAACTCTGCATTGGAGGGGTAGACTGTGCAATCCATACCCACGATGATGTACCTGCAGATGAGTGTCACTCCCGGTATAAAGGTGCAGCACAAATTCCCAAAAACAGTTCTACTTGTTGTGTCCACCATGCACTTCTAGCATCTGGAGCCCCGAAACCCCATGAAATTTTGCTATGATGCACTTTCCCTGTAATTCCCCGGAACTTCTCGAGGTAGCTCAGAAAGGATGGAAGTACGCCAGCAGAGCTGAAGTCCTTCTCGCTGGGAATAGGCAGCAGCACGCATTTGTCAGCCATCCACGCCTCGACCCAATCCGCTCCGGTCCTGCTCGATGATGGGGTTGGGTGTGTGAGAGGTCAGTTCTTGAAAACTCATAAAGGAGGAACTTTATGTGTTGCTGGTACGGTGTCGAGGTGCTTCTGCCTGTCACGCATGTACTTCATGTCTTTCGCTGTTTCCGTGGCCTCTGTCTCTCTGCTTGGCTTGATCTTCCTCAAAAGGTTCAAATCTGACTCCAGAAGACCTGTCACCTGCTTGAGCGTCGCCTCCCTGACTTCCTTCGCAAGGGCCGCTGCTGCGGCATCCGAAGCCTCCTGCTCTCGGGTCTGGATCTGCGACGTGATGGTCCTGTGTTCGAGTCTTACACAACAATACGCTCAGCCCTAAACCAGGTATCCTTTTGAACAACCCGCACCCTGCATCCCTGTCCCAAAATGCCAAGCCCAGCCCAAAAACCCTACGTTACAAACGAACACACAACAACCCTAAATCCGAGTTGGACCCGAAGCCCTCGACCACAATGCCAAACGCGAAATTAATTATTATTCCTGACACATTCAACCCGTATAGGCAAGAAGCCTGAAAGCACCGACGCTTTCCAGACTTGATGGCGGCACTGAAGTTTCGGCTACATAAACAAGGTCATTGTCCATAAATCCGTTCATGAACTGATGCTTGAGCTGGCGCTCGAATTCCGGAAACTCGGAGGCGGGCGCAGCTCTCCGCAGCATTTTCATGAAGTGCAGGAACATACCCGCTGCGACATGCTTCTGCAAAATCTCCTTGTAGCTTCCAGCCTTGACTTAATAAAGTGCTCCAGCAGGACACCGGCATTTTCTTAGGGCTTGGGGTTGCAAGTCTTCATCACTTAATAAGTTGCAACAAAGTTGCTTTGCGAAGTGGAGCAGGGCACAAATCGAAGTCGGCACACAGTCGCTCGACGACCAGCATTGCCTGGCAAGACATCATAGTATGTTCGGCATCCATGTGTAGCAAACACCCAACACCGAGAGAACAAAGAGAAAGAGAAGAGAGAGGGAACTAGGCATCGATCAGTCTCAGTGCTAATTAGTTACCGACAGCCTCACAAACAAGAGCACGTGGGAAGCGCCCTACTTCGATCCTTGCACTCAAAGGTGGTGGTGATGCTTGGATGACATTAGAAGGCCTACTCATCTCAGGATGTTATCACTACGTCTGCAGGTAGCCAGCAGGGCTTGATCTATTCAAGAGTTTGTTTTTCCTTAGGGTTTAAGGAGGTGAGTTTGGGGTTTTACAAGAATCCTGGCTCTAGGGCTACGAGGTTTTCTGAAAAGGATTCATATTATATCCCACATCGACTAGCAAAACCACTGCCAAGAAGCAACGTCCGGCGCATCTTTCAAGTTCATGAGCTCCTCCTTCCACCCTTCAGCGGAATTTTGTCCGCTAGAGAAGCCCTCGGAAAAGATCTGGCGAGCAAGTGCATCGTGGTGCAGAAAGCGACTCATGCCCCGCAGCTTGACCGCCGCTGTCAATGCATCTTTCACGCGAGGATGAACCTTCGTCACCAGCTCAGTCACTGCACGGGCCTCCTGCTGGCCTATTTGAAATGCCTTCGCCACGGCGGTCGACTTCTCCCAGGCCTCGAATAAGGCCCCATCTAGTTCGTTGCACACGAAAAAACAGTGTAAGACCTCGTCAGTCAGTGAACCACTGGACAACTCAATTGTTACAACTTGTCATTGGAACAACACTGGCCTCGAACTGCTGTCCCACAGAGCCACCACCGCTTCGAGACATGATGGTGATTTGCCGCAAAAAATTGAAAGCGTTTGGCGGTTTGCGTGTGGCCGCTGCCACCAGTGACACTCCTGGCTGGAATTGGGCACATCATATGTATTTAGAGCATTGATACATGCAGGCAGTGCTACGACTGAGATGGAGCACTTGGAGGTCTACGCTTCAGGGTCCAATGACTAAAGGCGAGTGGTGTGTTGCTGCCGTCCTCTCGCTGCCATGACCTTGGCCTTCACATCCTTGAATGCCCCGAAGCTTGCGTAGATTGTTCCCATGGAAACCTTGCGGAGCTAGCTGCGGGAAATGGTTAAGCTAGCCTGGCCGAGAACGACTCGAAGCAAAACACAACTACAGTAACAAAATCCACCAGCTTCCAGCCGAACGAAAGTCTAAGCAACGATAAGTGCAACTACAGCTGTAAGTATATTTTGACCCCAGCTCTCGATGAGTCCGCAGCACAAGATAATTGAAGTGCTGCCTGAGAAGCACGCACGTGGTGCGGGATTTGGTCTTCCAAACCCAACTCCCGTACACCGGCAAGCAAGATGAGCAAGCTCACCGCACGCTTCCAGCCCTTGATGTAAGCAATGGAAAAGGGTCTGAGCAGGGCGGATCCTGGCTGCAAGGCTGGAAGCTCCCTTCGCGGTTCATCGAGGTACTCATCAGGCGGGTAGGTGCACGACAGTTTCTCGCAGCCAACCAGGTCGGGGTTTGACAGGAACCTGAGATGAAAAATGTTAGGGCTGTTAGGGCGTTACATGAGTCATGGGGTTCGGGTTATTATTTGAGAATTACAATAATTCATTAGGATATGACTGTAAGACTCCAAATGACAACTACTGGGTAACTGCTGCAGCTTCTTCTACGGTAGGGACGAGTCAAGCCACCCCTCTGACACTATGAGTTCCAGCAATCTCTCGAGGACTTCCGGGTCTATGAACCCGGAAGTGCTGTAGTCCGAACGAAAGGCCAGCATCCATGGCCGAACTACCGCAGGTGCATCCATGTCGATGGCATATGTCTTCCTCGATAACACTGTGTTTTAACACACAGCACGACAAAGCATTGAACTCAATGTCAAGGCGATGCTGGCACTTCACTGTCACAATAATAATTACTAGATCTCTGAGCTGCGGACTCGGGGTCCGGGGGACAGAAGTCATCAAGCCACGAAGCGAAACCCATCAGAGCATCCTCGCACAACACCAACAAACACGAAATCAGTCCTCATGATCTTTAAACATGCTCTGGCCTGGTCGGGATATTTCTGTGCGAGGTACTGGTCTGGAGATCCGGCTGGCATGACTGTCTTGTGAAGCCTGCAGAACAGTCAGTGGCAATGAGGACATGAACAAACTTCTTTCGTTGTCACAACACATAATGAGAGAATTGAATGAACAGCTTCCTAAGTGTGTCAAACTATGGAAGCCACGGAACCACTCCGAGATCTTTGCCATCTCCGGAAACGCACAGGTGCTAGCAGCAGCAGTTTTGGCATTCTTAGCCGAACCACCACCGCCACTGCCACCAGACTTTCTTTTGCTGGGCGGCATGGCTTCTGGATGCTTCAGGTGGGGACACTACCAGTCGACTGGCACAAGACCTCTAGCCGAAGTGTAACTGTGTTCGGCTCGCAACAACCGGCTGGCTGTATCACTGAAAGCTGACCACTGACTGCAACGTTGAAAAGTAAAAGGCATCTGGTGCACAGATCTTAAGTGTCATTTTTCAGACCTGGCGCCTTGGATCCTCGAGTTTGCCTGCCGTGGCTCAGAATAGCCGACCCAAGCCTGTCGCTACGAGGAGCTGTCGGGGGCCTGCCTCCTGGGGTTTTAGCTTCAGGGTCTAAAGTTTCAACGGAACCGCCACAAAGCCTGGAGCCGACCTGTCTGAACCCCAGAGCTAATCCAGCTTCAAGACGATTCTACATGCAATGCGTCACATTCGCAATGCTTCTTTTAATCTTTGAGGATGATGGCTAAATCTACTTCGAAGGCCAACACAACACAACACAACGTATCGAAAGATTCTGAAATACCTTTGAACGGAGGTTTGCTCGCTCATGAATCCTCGAAACCTGCAGCATCCAACCTAACCCTTAGGAAGCCTTGGCCCAACAACTCTACACCCCAAGCCTTGGAACACCAGAAAGCAAATCCTACGGAATCTTCATACCGAAGTCTGAACAGCTTGGAAGTAATAAATGTATGACAATGTATTATACTGTATAATTAATCTAAGGGCCTAAATTTATATGAACAAGACCATCAGTCTTCAACACCAGGACATGGGTCCCGGAGTCAACGCCTGTCGTGCATCAACCCACTCCGAACCCGCAAAAAACGCGAATACTCCGTCACAACAATCGGAATCTGACTAAAGAAACCCAGGAACAAATACCCCTGACTGTCTAACCTTTATTTAACCCGCCGTGTCTAACACATAGAAACTCCAAATAGATGCCAAACACCTAGTACCTGGACAAGAATGGACCCTCTGGCTCCTACATTGTTTCTGGAGACGGCCGAAAGGATTATTTTTTGGGAAATAGGTTTGGTGTTCCATGGTGCTCAAAGGATCCCGGGAGGTCATGTTAAAATCGGAAGATGATCCATCATAACGGGCTCGACACAAAGCTTTGACACTGAGAACATGACGTTTCATGTCCGTTGCGCACGATGCAATGCGGAACCCATACAAGACGCGCAACTTGCACGCTGTAGGTATGCCAGCACAGTTACAGTTCTGGAAGCAGACGAATATTCAATCCGAGATGCAGATAGCTAACGGTGCACAAGCATCCTTACAAGCGTCTGTTTCACGAAAAACAAGAAGTCAATCTAGGTACCGGCTGACCTAGGTAGTATGATGTTAAACAGCAGGCAGATCCCACGGCACCTTGAACCCCAGCAAACGCATGCCCCACACGTGTCAACAACCATCATGCTCGTCGTCCTGAGTCGTCCTGCTTTGATCTTGCAGAGCGTGCGGCAACATGCAAAACGTTCAAGGCAGCATGCGATGTCGTGCCATCTTTCGCGTCCGGGTCGTGCAGCATTGACCACCAGGAAACAAATCACCTCTTCAAGCGTCGTCTCTCTCTCTCTCTCTCTATCTTTCTCTCTATCTCTCTCTCTCTCTCTCTCTCTCTCTGCCTCTCTATCTATCTATCTCTCTCCTTGTCTCACTCTCTGCCTGCCTCTCTCTCTCTCTCTCTCTCTCTCTCTCGCTCTCTCTCTCTCTCTCTCTCTCTCTCTCTCTCTCTCTCTCTCTCTCTCTCTCTCTCTCTCTCTCTCTCTCTCTCTCTCTCTCTCTCTCTCTCTCTCTCTCTCTCTTTCGCTTTCTCTAACTCTGGTTCGACGAGAAGCAGCGGGGAGCGTATTCAAACAGCACCCTCCCTCCCTCTCCCTCCCTCTCTCTCTCTCTCTCTCTCTCTCTCTCTCTCTCTCTCTGTATCTCTCTCCCTCTTTCCCTCTCTAAGACACTTAGTCTCTCGTCTCAAGGAATTATCCTAGTCTTCACACCTTGAAGTTCCTGCTTCGTCAGCAACCACCGAAAATAACTGCTTAGCTTCATAATAATATCTGAATGCAAGAATACATGACAGGACTTTTAAATGGTTTCAGCATAATTATTTAATGCTTGGACAACTGCTACACAACTTCGGGGATGATTCCGTCCCTTACCATCATGTGTAGAGTGAACTTCGCGAAGAGCACTACGCTTTTAGTCGTTGAACCCCAAACCCCCTAGCCAGGATAGCCGCGTGCCAAGACGCAAGACGAAACAATCCAAAGCCGCGTGCCACGACGCAAGCACAAACAATCAAACGGCCGACAACTACCGGTTTCCATGACTTGTCACCCAAAGCGACTAAGCACTCCAACTCATGATAGAATTATACGGTGATAATCGTAACAGTCCACAGCCCACCACAACACATTACGCGCCGGGCCAATTCAATGTGCGTCAAGAACCGTCATGTCAATTTGCTTCGTCGTGCCTTCATCATATAGACGGTGCAACCACGCAGGCAAGCTCACGGATTATGCCACAGGTCCTGGAAAGTGTTCGCCCTTGGACTTGGATTGGTCAATCCAAGAACCGCCTCGTCAATCGTCGTTTCTGTTCTCTCTCTCTCTCTCTCTCTCTCTCTCTCTCTCTCTCTCTCTGGCGCTGTATCTGTCTCTGCATCTCTTTCCCTCTTCCCTCTCTCTCTCTTTATCTATCTCTATCTCATTCTATCCCTCCCTGATGTCTCTCTCTATCTCTCTCTATCTCTCTGTATTTCTCTTTCTCTCTCTCTCAGCTCCGTCTCTGCCTCTGGCTCCGTTTCTCTCTCCCTCTATCTTTCTTTCAGAACCGCTCCCTCTCTAACTATCTCTTTCGGAGGCAGTCGACGCGTCTCTTGGTCTTGTCTAAGGGCATGATCCTACTTGTCATGCATCACTACTTGCCAGGACTTACGTAGCAGTAAATCATGTCGGCTGTATGTTCTGGGGTATGACTTCGGGTATGACCGCTTCAGAGATCCTGCGACGTTGCCTACCCCTATAGTATAAAGTCAGCCTTCAAACTTCCCCAAACCCCTACCCAGTAGCCTATTCCTCGAAGTGAAGCCCTAAACCCTCGCCCGGAAACGAGCCTGCCAATACGGAAGACCAAACAACGGAGGACCCAGAATAGGATGACATCTCACCCCAAACCAAACTCTTAGTCTTGTGAAAGATGCAGGGCTAATTGTCGCACCTGGAGCTTTCACATGTCAACAGTCCAGTGGGTAAATGTAAATTCTACGGAAAACCGTGATTGTAGGAAGAACATTGATCCAGCCGAACAGGATCGCATACTACTGAACTGATCGCAACAATCCGTCCGATCGAAGCCCGACCATTGCGCCTGCGCTTGGAGAGCTCCGTCCAAATCTGGTAGGACTTGACACGGCAATGATGGTAGATTGCCTGGTTGCTCTGTACTGTACTGTGGGAGTGGAATATCGGTCAAGGCTAAAGGAAAAGAGTCTGGAATGGCACTGTGCTAGGTCGTAGGTTCTAGGCTTCAGGGGCTGTGGTTCAAGGGTCCAGGCTTGAAGCTTCAGGGCGCAGCACATAAAACCGTCAGGGCCCCAACACGGCTTCGAACTTGTGCTGACATCCTACTTGCGCGATGTATTTCTATCTCTGCTTCAGAAGGACAGCACAGCAATCAGCGCCAAGGCACCGCTGCTCCGAAGCATTCGGCCCATGACATCGCTCCGCAGTCCGTCTAAACCTGCAATCATTCAAATCACCAGCTTGCGGCTAAAGTCCAGGGTCTGTTGTGTCTTGGGAAGCGAGAATAAAAGATTGAATTTTAGGAAACGAAAACCCAGAAGTGTTGAATTTTGGAAACGGAGAACCCAGAAGTGTTGAATTTTGGAAACGGAGAACCCAGAAGTGTTGAATTTGTGAAACGGAGAACCCAGAAGTGTTGAATTTGGGAAACGGAGAACCCAGAAGTGTTGAATTTGTGAAACGGAGAACCCAGAAGTGTTGAATTAAGGAAACGGAGAACCCAGAAGTGTTGAATTTTGGAAAACGAGAACCCAGAAGTGTTGAATTTGTGAAACGGAGAACCCAGAAGTGTTGAATTTGTGAAACGGAGAACCCAGAAGTGTTGAATTTGTGAAACGGAGAACCCAGAAGTGTTGAATCACAGATGTGATTCAACACTTGGGACACACGTGGAAACCGGAAATTCAACACCCAATGCCTTCTGGAAAAAACAGGCCAGAAGTGTTGAAACAGAGCTCTGGTTCAACACTTCCGGGCTGTCCTAGTCATTTTTTCATATCAATGAGTTTTTTCAAAACATGCTTTTTTGCACCAAAAGGCAGCCTGGTGTTGAATCGCAGCTGTGATTCAACACCCATTCGTCTTCGAAATTGAGAAGGGACCGGTGTTGAATTTCCTCTGCCTGCCGGCGATCTGATTTCCTTCCAACCACCGGCGTTGGCCCTAAATGTCCATGCCGCACCTCAATTTTTTTGCAAAAACGATGTCGCAAAAGTAGATACGCACGTCTCAGAACCCAACCCGGGAGACCTTTCAAATTACATTCAAAACGCAAGCCAAGTGTGTCCCAAGTGTTGAATCACATGTGTGATTCAACACTTCTGGGTTCTCCGTTTCACAAATTCAACACTT